AAGCCCTCTTCTAATTATCAAGGCCCCTACATTAGCCTCTAAACCGCAACCTGGAAGCCTTAAACCTGATAAGCCCTAACCCCCGCCAACCCACGATCCTCCCCAAGCCCAAGATTTGGAGTAGCGGCTTCTTGGATACTTCAGGCAAATATCCAGTCTCCCAAAATTTAGAGTTTAGGGTTTAGCTTGTGTCTCGTGGTCTCTTGTTCCTTTTTACACCCTAAACCCTAAACCCTTTAATGCATTGTTCCAACGAGTGTGGCCGTCTTGAGCAACAAAGGCAAGGGATGCCATGGTTGTAGAATAATATACCCCAAAATCTATTTTGGGAGTTCCTTATTATGGTTATAGTATAATATACCTCCAAAATCCTATGCTAATTATTAGGGCCCCTACATTACCGACAGCAGGATACAGTCAAGCACCGTCAGGTCAACCAGATCTGTCAACACAGGAAACGTGTTTCACTCTGCAGCCAAAACATCCCCCAGCGGACTTATCCCCAAGTGTTTCTTGCAGCCGAGGTAGCCACCTGCCTCGGCAGCCACTTGATTCACCCGCATGCTGCTTTGGGCCACAAGGCAGGCACGAAAGACAAGCCGCACGACCTCCGGCTTGCCGTTTATGTTTAGTGGAGTTCTGATGCGAGCAGGCAGCGTCCTCTTCGTAGTCGTTGTCGTTATGGCCTGGTGGCTGTAGCAGGAGCAATAGCTGGAGTTGCAGCAGCAGCAGCAGCAGCAGCAGTGGCAGAACGTCGTCGTCGTCGTCGTAGTCGTAGTCGTAGTAGTAGTGGGAGTAGGAGCAGGAGCAGGAGCCAATAATATACGCAGCACTACACGGCATCAGTCAAAGAAAGGGTAGCAATGACCATGATGATGATGATGATGATGATGATGATGATGGTGATCAAGATCTTTCATCTGTAATCGGGACGACGGCTTCAGATGGGGTGTGGTGAAGAGATCTCTGGGTACAGGACTTGCGGTTGAGGATTTAGTTTCTGAGGCTTCAGGCCCCTGGGGCTTAAATTTAGGGCTTAGAGAGCTACTTGTGCCTGGCAGGTTTTTGGAGAGTAGCACAATCATGAGAGATCCCGAGTACTGTCCCTGTAGAGCCCTTATGGAACACAGTCTGTCACTGTAGAGCCTTTATGGAACGTATGGAACACAGTATGCGGAATCGACAACCCTAAATACTTCAATCATACACCTGCGAGGTGGGTGCCATGCTTGGAAACGCAATCGGAGGCCCCCGAACGGGAAGCTGTGGTGCTCCCGAAGCCCCAATGCCTTTTGTTGGGGTTAAGGGGTTCGGGGGTCTTTGGGTTTAGGGTTTTCCGCGGTTATAGACCCGAAACCCCACAACCCCGAAACCGCAGCAGTTTCTGTCCGAAAACTGCTCGCCCTCAACCCCAAACCTTAAGCCCTTAGCCCCGTATCGTTGCTGGCCCCGCATGGGTTTTCCGCTGCACACAGACTTGCGAGGTGGAATAGACGCCATTTCTGAAAACAAGACCTTAACCCCCGAACTCTAAAGGATAAGCCTCACCTGGACCCTCAGAAACCTACCTGTTTAGGCTTCCTGATCATCATTTCGTTTATATTATTCGGGTTAAGCTAGGCCAGGTAGAGCTTCTCTTTCAGCATATAAAGCAATGTTGAACGCACCAGAGAAGTCCGTAGAACCCCCAATATCGATTTTCCTGTATAGGAGCTGAACAGAAACAGCAGAGTCTGCTGTTCCCGGTGCTGCATGTGCGGCATATCGCCGCCGGTGGTCCCAATTGTTCTGTCTTGGGCCTGTCCAGCCCTAAACCCCAGGTACCTGCTATATAGGGTACTAGAGCCACTTGGGCCCTACATAGTAGGTACCCGGAGGGTTAGGGCAGGGGATTCCTAAACCCTTTTAGGGTTTAGGGTTTAGGGTGTACCAAGCCAGCACGAACGACGGTACCTCAAAGGGCCGCCTCAGTTAGAGCCACCCTCCAGGAGCAAACGGGTAGCTCTCTAAGTCAGGGTCTCTTTCATTTAGGGCCCCGAAGAAAAGTACGCCGCCCTTATCAAAAGGACTCTAAAATGGGACCCGAATTTGGAGAACTACTCAAATCATATCCTGGAAGGAATCACCTTGACGGGCAGTCTTGTTGCCTTCGGTTGCTCGGCTGCATGGCGACAGCACCATCCGTTTGGCTGTCGATGGGTGTGGCTCGTGTGCAGGCATCCGAAACTTCGCAAACATGTGCCGTCTGATGACAACTTGGTTCCCCAATACCCAACCTCAAAATTTTTTGGGTTCTTATAATGTTGTTGTAATCTGCAAGTTTCCCGGGCTTATCCGGGAAGTAAGGTAAGCTGAACGGCAACCTGGGTTCAAAGCCCTTCAACCTGCCCAACAAGCCGCTCGGACGCACAGAAGAGTCCTCCCGTAGTAATATGGGGGCCTTGATATAATTACCTATACTATATTGGGGGTTCCTTATTATAATTATAGTATAACATACCCCAAAACCTTATTCTAATTAAGGCCCCTACATTAGGTCTTCCAGGTTCCGGAGGGTGCAGAGACCCGGGAAGCCCGAAACTTGCCTGACCCCATAGGCTCCATTGTAGTTCCTTTCTGTGGTTTGTGTTGGGGATTCTAGAAGGCAACCCCCAAAAGGAACTACAATGGAGCCTCTGGGTAGCTTAGGGTTCAGTGCTCTCTAATTCCTCAGCTTCGCCTCTTCCGTTGCTGTTCCGTTGGATCCCAGGAACATGCTCAACGCCGGCATGGCTGCTGGTCAGCACCCGGGCGGCACAGCCTGCGGTGTAGTGGGTACGCATCGGCTTAATCCAAAGCTTCAGAGCTTTGCGGTGTTTTATGCTGAGTCTCACTTCTATTATACAATATTAAATCCATTAAAATGTATACTATACTGTAATCCCTGAACCCTAAAGCCTAAACCACTATACGATACTGTACGTGAATGCTGCGGCTTGGGTTCCTCGCCGGTTGGCGGGGTTTATAGGTTTGGGACACAGGGTTCGAGGTGAGGAATCCAATATAGAGGCTTAAATGCTTACCTAAGGTACTTCAAAACCCTATTCTGACTACTAAGGCCCCTACATTAGGCTTCATGTGGTCCCTTGCAGTTGCTGGGTGACTGTTCTTTCAACCACCAAAACCTACTTTTCTCCGTAGGTTCCTTTTAAGCTCTACATTAGGTGGTTGAGTCTGTATATACGCTCCAGACTAAGCTGGAGCGGCAGCTGCATTGGTCTCTAGACTCTAGAGTTTAGGGTTCAGGGGACTGTGTGGCAAGTGCTGAGCTACAGCCAGCCTTAGGCAGGGAGGTGGCAAGCCTGTGGACAAGACGACTATCCAGTTTAACTACCCCACATGTTCTATACCTCTGTGTTCCATAGTCACAGCACTGGCCTCGTCGCCAGATTGGCACGGGAATGTAGAAGAGAAGCCGAGTGGTAAGCCAAATATCCCATCGAGCCCACCGTCGCATTCAAGTGCGTGTGCTAATGAGCACATCCAGAACACTCAAACCTCTACGTTGGGACCGACCTAGAACCCTCACTTATCGGCGCTAAACCCTAAACCTCAAACCCTCAACCCTAACCCCTAAACCCTAAACCCTAAAACCCTAAACCCTAAACCCTAAACCCTAAACCCTAAAACCCTAGACCTTAAAGCCTAAACCC